GGAGAACAGTTCCGCCCTGCGTAGCACTGACAGGTAAAGTTTTCAGCCCAGGCACTGAGGTCAGCAGCAGAAGGGAGGCCAATAGCCACATACTTCCTATCAGCTCGTATGATGTGGAAATGGGTGGGGTTTAGGTGCAGGTAGTGGCGAGAGTTGTTGCTCTTCCGGACACAGCGGCCCTTCCCCTGACACAAGACTTCGCTGCAGAGCTTGGCGGCTGCAGTCACATTAGCAATGTAAGGGTTCAATGTGGATCTCAGGTACTTGGACAGAGCATCACAGGACGCCTGCAAAGACAGGAGTTTATATGAGAGGTTCAGGTGTTCAAAAAGTATGTACAAAAAAAATCTTAGAACTTCAAGATGAATGTCAGCTAAAATATTTTATTGGGGTAATTAAAGTCCAAATAAAACATATTGCTTAATGGATGTTTGTGTCCAAAGGAGGAACGTCAACTGGACTGAGAACACGGATAGTGGCAGTAAGACCATCTAAATGGTCTGTTTTATTCTTAATTAGAATTTGCATTCAGTTGTGCCACTTTAAATTGGTTGTAAGACAATAAGATATTGTGATTGTGTGAACATCAAATGACAAGAAAAAGATATACCAATTCAAAAAGCGGCTGCAGCAAATGAAGCTGCAATACCTCTTTCACATGTCTGGTAAACACAGATAAACAGTCACAACTGTTAGTTCCTCTTAAGAGAGGAAACAAAGGCATGTTAATTATTTGTTGATGCAAGGCTGGCCAGTTGTGTTCCTGTTTTCAGACCTGTGAAGAGTTACTAATATAGAGTTTTTATGGCTAAAGACAAATGCAGAAACTTCGGGTGGCTCGTGTGATACTTGAAGTCTTTTCTCTTCTCATGAAACAAACAAACACTGGATTTGCAATGTTGAGAAGGAATCACATTGCTCAGCTGGTAGATTTTTAATGCTGACGTGTCAATATTGTGTTGAGTTAGAATATCCCTTAATGATAGGAGATCTGATCAAAACATCCAGTAAATATCAGTAAGCTGTGAATTACCTTGTTGTTGTAGTCTCTGGCACCTCCCCATATTATGACCCCAGAAGCTCCAAGTGCTGCAGACTCTCCGATCGTGCTGATTAGATCTCTCTGAAAGAGCAGGAACGAAACTTTTTTTTTTTAAATAAAAAGGCTCAAAGTAATTTAATGCCCTATCCTCGAGGCCCCCAAAACACCCCCCAGCTTCTCTCTCATTCACATCTTTTAGGATCCAGTATAGAAAACCTATAGATAAACCTTGGTAGAGTTGATATAAGGTACTACAAACTGTTCAAAGTGAATGAACTCCAAACCTTTATCACATTAGAGTTCTAAATTGAGGCCTTCATTCTCCTTTCAGAGCAGTATTAATTGATGTTTTTATGTCATTTTCAAAAGTTTTTAAAACATAAATCTTCATTTGTTGAGTTGTTTTTCTGTTGTGTTCTTGTGAATGCTTTTTGCTCTTACGTGAGAAATTTAATAACTATTTAGGTTCAAATGACAAAACCCTCATGTGATGGGCTGTTTATTGTAATCATAAAGATGAAGTGAATGATGTGCATAAATGTGATTTTAACACAAACACTCACCCTGGTCTGAAACTTTTTGGTCTGATCCCGGTACAGTGGCCTGCAATAGACATAGACTGGCATAACGTAAGGACGTTTAGGCAATGCTGCCACCCTCAGAGCCTCAAGAACACGGTTACGAACAAAGAGCGCAGCCCGGGGAGAGTTCCTCAGATTCTGGTGAAGGTAGACTGATGGGAAGAGAGCTGTGCTGCGTTCCCACAACCAAAGCATCTGGTTGTTCTGCTTGTGGGTCTTGTGGGAGCACTCTCCCGTGTAGCCAAGCTTGTTCCATCCATAGTTGTAGCAATCAGGAAACAGGTAGAAGCCCCATCGGCGGTTTGGACGCTCACCAGTACCAAGGCTAATGGTTTTTTCCATGAAGTGACGTCCAGCCCGCTGGAACTGTTTCTTTGCCAGTTTAAGAATTTGCTCTAATGATAAAAACGGGAGCATCTGCAGGGTACGACTGATGGACAATTTCTGATAAATGCGTTTTGAACCCCAGTTCTGGTCCCACAGGGGGCGCCAGGATTCCCAGTCAATGACAGCCAGCCCAGGAGAAGAATCCTGGGAGATGTAGTGATTTATTTGTTTTTGGGCTCTGGCCAGGTGCTCTGTCAGGTTGCCATTTTGGGGGACCCCACCGCTGTAGAACTTATGCTTGACAGAATCAGCTCTAGGGTAATGACCAAGGCGGTCCTCATAGAAGATGGTGAGAAACTGGCCTGGCACAGCTGCGGGTGTCGTCACTGACTGGAAGGCTGCAGTGTCCAACGGGATGTGAAGACGTTTACAGTGCTCGACTGGCGCGTTCCATATAGCCACAAAGGAATGGTTATTGATGAGCGGTGGCTCAGTTGGAGGTAGGGCAAGGGCTAAGGTGATAGATCCAATTACACAGAAGCCAACAGAGGAGAAGAAGGATGGGGCCATGGTAATAGGTCTGGACAAGCAGGGCAGACAGTGGATAAAAGTCAGCAAACATCAACATAAATCACAGCTATTTTTGACAAACTCTGTTTTCTCTTTAAAATAACCAAACTCCGTCTTCTTAAGATGGGCTAAAAGTGGGAACTTTTGATCACATTTGAAGTTATTTGAAATATGACTCTCGGTGAAAGATGACTTCATAATTTTTACATCTCAAACAATTAATGGAGAAAACAGTTATTAGATGCTCTATTAGATCATCAGTGGATACAAAATAGTTCTGAAAGAGCTCCACTTGAAGCTGCAAATGTTAAATACTACTTTTATAATATGAATATAACAGGACACAAAGCTGTTTCTGCAGTTAGAATGTAAGATACTTCCTCCATTATTATTTTATGTGTGTGTGAAAGAGAAATACGACATAGCTCTGCTACATGCATGCTCTGTGCTCAGAGCTTAAAATGTCAGCAGTGGCCCCAATTTATGTAAATGATCATTATCAGCAAAACAGGGAAAATTAGAAAATTTTAGGTGCTAGAACGTACACATAAGTGCTTGGAATGATGAACCAAATCTCGAAGTTCACCCAGTGGCTGAACAATCTGCTCTATTCACCTACAGTAGTGTAAGGACACTCCCTGCGTGTTCAGAGTTCAAGTTCACTTGCCTAATCATCATCTGTAGGGGAAAATTTATGAAAACAGACTAATTGTAGTCCCTAACAATTTCATATGTTCATGCCATAAACTTTTATTTCATTATATATTTAAAAAATATTCATATTTATGACTAATTCTAAACAGCATATCATTTTAAAAATGATATTGTGTAGGAGAACTGAACATGTTATCAAGTCATGACTCGAAATGCCATTAATACACATTCTAAAAAATATTTTAAAAAATATGATTTATTTAATTTTAGTGTGACTTACTGATCTCTAACCAGGAACAACAACAAAATAGATTTGGCCTTTTGGACTGAGTCCTTTGCAGTTCTTCTTTTTCCTCTTGATCAATAACCATTTATACTGACAAAATTAACTTTTTGTTTGTGGATGATACTATTTGTAAGCAGCAAAATAGTCATTTACAGTGGATTTGGAATGATAAAAGTGCTAAATAATGATATAAAATAAAGATATTTGTAAAACCTTCCTTCATATTTGGTGTTCAGATAGAGCCCTTGTGAATGTGAATACATATGTTAACTACATTCTGTTTTTGATGTCCTTTTTGCTCATCCTGGTAAATCAATATAAAATTAAAAATGACTCAAGGATTTCGCAGTATATCTGTAAACAAATTGTCCACATTTTAAAAAGATCAAATCTTTTTAATAATATCCTTTATCTTACAAGGTTATCTCACTATTCTTTTCAAATCAGTCAACATTTTTTGGATATAATAGTGTTTTAGCGCCTACCTGTTGCTGTCTTCAGTGGCTTGTCATAATACTTCAGTGTTTCTCAAGTAATTTTTTTGCTGTTTCATATGTCAGAGGAAACAGTTTCTTCTCTCTGGTAGATCCTTATCTAATTAAAATACTAACTGGTGAGTGGTTTTAGGGTGTCAGGTTAGAATAAATGATGCAAAGAATTTGGAAACAGTTTTGGACAAATACAATCAACACTAAGATAATTTAGTGAAAAAGGTTTTTAAAAAGTTGCATATTTGCAAGATGAAAGTAAAACTCAGAGTGCATGAAAAACAGAATGGTAACGAAAGTTAAAAAATAAACAACAAAAGTTAAAACAACAACAACAGCCTGGTTCATGCATAATATTTCTGGTTTGTACTGATTTATCACAAAAATGACACGATGATGGCAACATGTTTTTCATACTTTAGCTTTGTGTCAATTTCATTTGTAAATCAGGAGATTGTAGTGCATATAGTATTTTAGTTACTTAAGCCTTCAGAGTTTTGACAACATAAATTAATCTTATTTTAACAGAAAAAGTTATTTAAAGTCAAAACTTTTCTGTATAAAAACATATTTGCATACTTATTATTACTTATTACTAAATATTCCGAAACATTTTCTTCGTTCTTTAGAGTTTGTCCCAAAGATTGGATCTAGCTGGGACTTGATGTTTGAGTTAAAAGGGCCTCTGAGCAGAAAATATTCTTGCCAGGGCAGTCATCTCACACCAGTGACTCATCATTATCATTAGTTCAGCCTTCTGTTCCTTTTTCTCACTAACTGGGTCTGAGGTTTAATGACTGACTGTAGAAAAGGTAGTCAACGTTTTTCAAGACACAGTTTTTTCATTGTTTGAAAACCTAATATAAAGACAAAGATAAATAATGTCAACGGAACGTGAATCTGCCCCATCAGATTCATATCCAATCTGATCTGGATCAGTAGATGATCCAGTTGGCTGCAACTCAACTCACTAAGCGGAAGATGTTTCTTTGTTACTTCCCCTGAACTCATCACTTTATGTAATAATGGCAGGAAAAGGAAGAAACACACTGTAGCTTTGGAAAGTGTTTATTAGCAGTGCATTTACAGTCAGGTAACATTTTTCATGTGTTGCATACTCCTTGTTACATATGTAGTTTACAATCTTAAGATTTAATAAAGAATACAGTGACTACAGGAAATTTACAATTGCTACACAAAGTCTGAAGTAAAAGCCTAAAAACACTAACCTAAAGGCAGGCTTGAGCCGTCCATGTGACGTGCTTCATTGTTGCTTAATGTTAAATACTAAAATTTATTGGAGTACCCCTTCTACCCCTGTTTTCTTCTGTCTCTTTGACTACATAAGCAACATAGGCTGCCTTTTCATCAGCTATTTAAACTGCAACAAACTGCCAACTTCTCCAAAGGTAATGTTTCAGGTTAGTGTCATTACTCAATACTGTTTGTTCACTCTGAATGTAAAGCAAACTTTAGGGGATTGATTTCATTTAGAAAAAGTAACAACATTAAATTTTATTATCTAATGACTTTGAGCCAATGACTTGAGAGCCACCATCTACCGGAACCAAATTCCTTGTATGTGTCTGCACATATACTTGGCCAATAAACATGATTCTGATTCTGATTCTTTAAACTGTTTTTGTTAGGAACAAGGATACCGAATTAGAAGATTTTCTTACATTGTGTTATGATTGGTAAAATCAATAAATTCCTAATACATTAATGAAAGTTAGACCATCTACAGTTTTATTACTGAACAAACAGTATTTGCTGATGGAGGCTGGTTCTAAAATGATAAATGGTGAATAGATATGACAACTTTGTTTTGTCAACTTTGGCATCGTAGTTATAAGTATGCTTTATACTTGGAATTATCCAAAGAAAAGCACTTTGGGGGACACAGAGAGAGAGAGACTGAATAAAGAGTTTCACGAGAACCTGAGGTATCAAAAAACTGGTAAACTTTGGTAAAAAGGTGAAATTAAAGGACCTCAGTTTCCAGAGGCTGTGTCTGTCAGATATAGTTTGTGCCATCTCCTGCATCCAGTTGAGTGCTTCCTTGCACTTGGAGTTGTACATTCAGAGACAGTAGCCATTTACCAGTCACACTGAGATGAAGTAGAATCAAATACAAAATCCAGAGATCAATAATATAAAAAGTCTTTCTGTTCTTCAGGGTAACAAACCCAACAGAATGTATTCTGAAGTTAAAAGCAGCTATATGCTGCATCCTAACAGGCTCCAAAACGGTTTGTGACATCTCCTGGAAAGACTACAAGTAATAAGTAACAATACAAAAATATAAATTTGTACATATACCGCAAAGTATAGTAACAGTTCATTCAAGGTATTGGAAATAAAGGATGTCTTTAAAAATGCATCAAGTCTTTGTAATTGTGCTCCTATATATGTATGTGCAGTATTGTATTTTGAGCAGCCTTTGGTTTTTGTGGACAAAGCAAAACGGAGGATCATCATGCGACAAGCCAGCTCTGCCTTTTTTCATGAACTATAAGGCATTTCACATGATTTCTCTGCAATATGAGTTACAATGAATAAATTCAAGCATGTATATTGGCTGTGCAATTCCATTTTTCCTTCTGTTTCAATGGGTACACTGCTGATTTAGGCCACAAATAATGTTTAGTCCGAATAAATGAATAATTGACTGACAGGCAATCATTTTCTGATTGGGTAAAATGTTTTCATGAGACATGTTTTCTGCATGTATTGTATTTCAGGTGGTATTTTGCAACTGTTTATAGCACATTTATCAAACAGCATCAGCAAGACGTTCCTATTACTGCAATTAGCTTTATGGTGCATAAAGTCAAGTTTATGTCAGTATCCTTGGATAAAATAAAAAATACATTTTGAATTAGAACATTATATTTACTGCAGTGTTGACATGTCACATCTACCCGCAGCTAAATTGAAACTAACTTTCTCTTTTGAAGCCATCTTCAAACATATATCTTTACTAATAATAAATTCAACAGGAGCAACAAAGTTAAGTGATGGCTGACGCAAGTTGGCGCTGCTGCACTCTCTCCTGCCTCCTGCTGTTCATCCTGTTCATCCTCCCACTTTGTCCTCTTCTTGTCGTGATCTTCGTACTCTTCCTCTTCCTCCCATGGCCCTTTATCTTCTCTCACTTTGTTGATGCTGTCGCAGTTCTCACCATTGTGGCCCTCATAGCAGTGGCAGCGGAACCTCTCCATTAGTAGCTGCTGTTCATGCGGTGAATGCCAGCCATTCACAGTAAAGTCCCCATCCTCAGAGGGATGGATGCGGTAACTGTCAGCACTTAGGTGGAGGTAATGCCGGGCGTGGGGGTCCCGGCGGATGCAGCGGCCATTACTCTGGCACAGGAATTCACTGCAGATTTCTGCGGCCCGTGTCACATTGGTGATGTACAGACCCAAGCGGTGGCTTAGGAAGGACTTGACGTGGGTGCAGCTGTGCTGTGGAAACAAGGTGAAATTCGTAATAGCTTATATGATACTACAGCCAAAATTTTGAGTTTAGTGGCTTCACATCAAGTTCTGCTTTAAACCCAATGATGAACCAGACTCACTATGACAAAGATTCGCCAGTGCCTAAAGATAACCTTAAAATGAAAATGTATAGGTTGGAATGGAGTGGCATCCTCACAGATTCTGATTCCTCATGGATGATGAAAGAAACTTTCAATTTCAGCAGAGGTTGAAATAATTATTTCCCCCCACTGTAAAGCAACTTGAAGAGACTGTTATTGTCAACTGGCTGGAACAATATAAATAAAACTGAACTAAAATGAACTGAATTCCTAAAGATGTGTTAGGAGCTTTATGTATAACATCGCTGCACATTAAAAATATTAATCACAAACGTCAGAAGAGCATATGCATGCACAGTCACCTCTTGTGATTTTGTTAGATGTTCATAAATAAATCTCCATATGCACCAGCATATATGATGAAAACATACTATAAATAATTTTACTTTGTTAATGTAGGGCAAAGACCACCTACCCTGGATGAGGTCAAATTTAAATCTCCCCAGATGACAAATCCTGCAGTTCCCAGTGCAGCACTCTCCCCTATGGTGTGGATCAAATCGTCCTACAGGAAAAATACAGGTAAACCATCACATCACATCACACATGTCTGTCACCATCACTACCACGCCACCATTTAAGGCAGGGATCTCAAATTATTGATGGCGAAGTGATGATGAAGTAGCTGAAGAAAAAAAAATAAAATAAAAGAACAATAAAATAATACAAAGGTCAACATATTTGAACATTGAATTTTTAATACTGCTTGGACCACACTGCAGTGTGGTCCAAGTGTTACAGTGTTAGTAACAGTGTTTGTCAGTGTTACAGTGAGAAACTGGTTATGTTGTGCAAAGCTCCACAAGATCATACTTCAAAGAAATTCTTTAAATAGCCTTCTTCTTTTCAAAGACATCAGCTGTTAACCTGCCGAATCAACAGATCATCCTCAAACATTTGGTTTTCCCTGAACCTCCAGTAGATGGCAGTAGGGAGCAGACTCAGAGTATAGCCTGACTGTTTAAGCACATTGTTACTGAAAATGATGTTTACTGCATACAAAAATTAATAATTATATGACAATTAATTTGAAGGGGTGGGTTGCAAGTTTAACTATTACTAATATGCAATCATATTAAGAATTACAGAAAACAATATTTGCTTTTTGACTTTTTCTTTGGAACATCAGGATTGGTGATTTAAATCTTTAAATTGAGGCCAAATGATGATTGTTTGCCAGTCATTTGAACACACAAAATTACAACATTTTCCACTATAAAATGCAGAACTGATCCCTTTGTCACATTGTCCCACATTGTGTTTGTGTGTCTGTTAGTACTCTGATGATTCCTTGTACTTTGATTCCTTGTTCCTATCCCGTTAGGGTTTTATTTATATATTTTTTATTAAAGCTGCTTTTGTAAGTTGACCTCATTTCCAGAGTCTTGCATTTGGGTCTATATTTGAAGCTTGGTAATGCACTAAAATTGACTGAGAAGATTAAAGTTTCTCCAGGATCTTTAATCCTGTCTTCTGTGAAGTATATCACAAAGGCTGCCATTCATATTTTAACACAAGTTTAACATATTTTATTCCAGCCCTACTGATTTTGATGAATGTGTTGTCTCTATTGATGCTGAAAAAGCCTTTGATCGAGTTGAGTTTGAGTGTCTCTTCTTCCACAGATTTTGTTCTGGAGCAAATTTTATGGTTTGTTTTTTTGAGTGGCACAGAAGTGTAATAACTTGCTTCAAGGACCTTGTCATAGCCTGGAAACTGGCATCATTTAAACAACTTGCTAATACAATCTACCACCATCACACTTTTTAAGATGCTTGCAAGCCAGGCACTTTATTTGTTTCCAGATTTCAGGCTCAAGTCCTCTACCGAGGCCAACCATACAACTTTATCCAACCAACAGAGGGCTGATCTCCCTGCTTTACAGTAAAATGTTAAACTTGACACATACCTCAAAATGTTATGGGAAGAAGATTTAGACTTAGGCCTCTGTACTCACAACTTGACATCATTATGTGCCCGCCACTGTTAATCCAGTTCAAAGTGGTGCATGGAGCCCACTTCTCAATATCCAGATTATCTTCTATCTATCCTGAAATCACTGCATATTGTGATAGATGACAAACTGCTGAAGCTTCACTGATCCATGTCTGTGGCTCTATATTTTTCTACCACTAGTAAAATCCTGCTTTTTTTCTAGTCAAACGTTTTAGAGACCAGTATGGAACAGGACTGCACAGGTGCCAGTACTGTTACATATACAGTATAAGGAGCCTTAAGTCAATGTGGAGGCTGAAACATATTTTCCTTTGCGGCTACCGCTGCTGTACTTTTTATCCCTTCCAACCTTTATCCTCTGACTCATTCTGACTTAACTAAGGTTTTGCTTATGTGTGCCAACCACCTTTTGCATGCATCCTAAAATGCAGTTCAAATAGGAAAGAATATGTTCTGCTTAGAGGTTTCGATTCACATTTATTCATAAGACTGAAAATCAGAAAATTCAGACATTGCCTAAAGTTCTTGTTGTATGGTTTTGGAATTTTAAAAACCAAAAAGGCTATTACATTTTAAATTATCTTTTGAAAATGCATGTTGTATTTAATTAATCCACAATTTTTTAATGGATTTTTGATCAGAAGGAAGGAAACAGCACAATTGTCTTTTATTGTCTAAGGAATGCAGTGGTTTTGATGTCATACATTTAAGACATATAGTGAAAGTGGCCAAGAAAAGGAAGGTACTAATTTAAATTTTGATGTTATGTCATACTCCGCTGAGCTTATTGAATTTGAGCATGAACCTCCTTTAATTTCTCAGGAATTTTGCAGAGGTTTGTGATGAAACTTAGCACACGTATTGTGTGGGTATCCAAAAAGAGGAACTCATTGAGTATTTCATGTCAACTATCAAAGAAGATTTTTTAAATGCATTTTTGATATATCATCATGTTTAACTGACTTTGTTCAGAATTGAACCAGCAGTTAAACATGGTTCGGGCATCTGACAAGGATGCCCCCTGGGTGCCTCCTGGGTGAGGTGTTCTGGGCATGTCCCACTGGGAGGAGGCCCCGGGGCAGACCCAGGACACGCTGGAGAGATCATATCTCTCGGCTGGCCTGGGAACGCCTTGGTGTTCCCCCGGATAAGCTGGAGGAGGTGGCTGGGGAGAGGGAGGTCTGGGCTTCTCTGCTTGGGCTGCTGCCCCCGCAACCCGGCCCCGGATAAGTGGAAGAAAATGGATGGATGGATGGATGGATGGATGGATGGATGGATGGATGGATGGATGGATGGATGGATGGATGGAAGTTCAGAATTGTCATTTATGTTTAAAATAATTTTACAGTCCAATAAATCTGGCAAGATTTGAATGACTTTCCATAGAAGTTAATCATGAATGAGGAATTGCATTACCAGTCAAATTCAGAAGACAAATGAAAGAACAACAAAAAAATATTCTATTGGTTCTATTTTGTCTTAGTTTGCCCAAGATAACATGCAACAAGGCCGACCTACCACCCCTAAGCTGCCACAGGGTGAGATGGGATTCATCCTGGACAGGTCGCCAGTTTGCAACAAGACTAATGTAGAGACACAGACAACAATTAATTAAGCTATTAACCTAACCCCACTAACTGCATGTCTTTAAACTGTGGCAGGAAGCTGGAGTACCCAGAGAGAGCCCACACAAGTATGGGTAGAACATGCAAGCTCACACAGAAAGGCTCTAGCCAGAAGGACTAAAACCCAGAACCTTCTTCCTGTGAAACAACAGTGCTAACCACTGTGTTATGGTATGTCATAGTGCTTTAAATAACAATTTAAAAATCAATAAAAAAAAATGTAAATGAAATATTGGGGAAAAAAATAAATTGTAGGTTGGATTTTTTTGTTTTTGTTTTGTTTTTAGGTCTGCTTCAAAATTCAGATAAAACTGAGGCTATTGTACTCAGCCCTGAAAATCTTTGTGTCTATGGCATGGTACGGCTGGCATTACCTTCTCCGCGGTAATGGAGTGGTTTCTGACCATGATATCTCCTTCAATGCACATAAAACACAAATTTAAAACTACTCTATAATTAGAAACATGTCTCATTGTGATGCTGAAAAACTAATTCTTGCATTTATTACTTATAGGCTGGACTACCGCAGTTGATTATTATCATATTTTCCTAAATGCTCTCTGAAAAGCCTTCAGTTGATCCAGAAAACTGCAATAAGAGTAGTGGCAGCGACTATTTGAAAGAGCATATTTCACCACATACTACTATATCTGTCCAATGGAGCATGTTGCTCTAGCCATACTTGTGGTTCTTAGGGTAGATCCTTCAGCTTTCAGGCCTTTCTTCTGTGGAACCAGATCCCAGTTTGGAATCAAGGATTATTGTAGGGTCTATCTTACAGTACAACGTATTTTGAGTTGACTGTTGTTATGATTTGGTGCTTTGTAAATAAAACTGAACTGAATTGACTTGAATTGAATTGGAGCAGGTAACCCTGAACCCTCCCTTAGTTATGCTGCAACAGGCATAGGCTGCGGGTGATCTCTTTATTTAATTATTAGTTACTATAATCTCTGTATCTCTTCCACAGTGTGTCTTTTGTCTCACTTCCCCTCACCTCAACTGAAGGTTTCGTTTTGACAAAAGGGATTTTTCCTTCCCGCTGTCGGCAAGAGCTTGCTCATGGGGGTCATCTGATTATTGGGGTATTATCTTACACTGTTAAGGAACCGTTGTTGTGATTTTGTGCCATAAAAATAAAATTGAATTAAAAGTATCCCTGTGAAAGGAAAACGAACTACTTTGTTGCATAATGGAAATTTTATCCAGAACACACAGTAGAAAAAAATATATAATATTTTGGTAAACTTTGCTCTTACTGTAGTGAGAAAGTTGAGGGCCTCATCTCGGTAGCCCAGCCTCAGGTACACATAGGTGGGAAGGTCATACTCCTTTGAGGTCAGTGAGGCGACTCGGAGCGACTCTCTGATCCTGTGCTGGGTGAAGTGCAGGTTGCTGATGCTGTTGCTGTGATGCTTCCTGATTGTGACAGAGGGATAGAGGGCCATGCTGCTGTTCCATAGCCACACCAGCTCGTCATTCCTCAGCCTCTCCAGCAGGGGGCAGAAGCCTGTATAGTTCTGATCATGCAGGTTGTAATTGTGGCAATCAGGGTAGAGGTAAAAACCCCAGAGGGCACTGGGCCGGAGCTGTCTCCCCAGCTGAATGGTTTTTAGCATGAACATCTTGGCACTTTTCTCAAACCTCCGCCGTGCCAGTTCTTCCACTTGTGCTGCAGTCACGTTGATGTATGCTTTCTTGGTTAGCTCCTTTGATTTGCGTCTATAGATGTCCTTTTTGTGCCAATTACGACTCCACTGAGGTCGCCAGAACTCCCAGTCAATAACAGCCAGGCCACGAAAGTCCTCTGCAGGTATGAAGTAGTTGATGTCCTGGTGGGCTTTGAACAGATGTCGGTCCAGGCTGCAGTTTTGAGGTAGGCCACCAAAGACGGCTTTGCCATGTGGGGTGTAGTGAGGGTAGTAGCCCAGCCGGTTGGCATAGAAAATTGTGACGTTCTGGCCTGTCCAATCAGCACGTGGGCTTCCCTGGATGTGGAATAGGTGGTTAATGTTGGTGGTTATGTTGTACCTGAAGGTGCACAAGTCCAGTGGAGCATTCCAGGCAGCAATGAAAGGTTTTCGGCCAATCAGAGGCAGTTTGGCAGGTTTCTGACCAAAAGCTGAATGAAATAGCAAAATCAGCCAGGAGCAGGTGAGCGCAACAGGTACAGCATGGTGGGAGGAGGATTCCCCAAGTACTGGCACAACAGGCATTCTGGGATTCAGAAGGTGCAGCTGTCAGTCATCCTGACAAAGGGAAAAGTGACAGGGAAAAAGAAAAACAAATGAAAAACAAAACTCAGACATTTTTTTCATCTGTAAGACTTTTTTTTAAAATTATTATTTATCTATTGTTTCACCTTTGTAACCTGCATGAAATTTGTTGTATCATCTGTCTAATGAAAGTTACAATAACAAAATAGTAAAGGTAAGGATGGCTACAAAACAAAGCAACGCAGAGCAGGATAGTAAGATTTTCTCTGGGGATTTTTCATATATTTCACGTGGCACCACTTTGGGTCCTGACCTCAGAGTTAAGAGACTCTGTTTTCACATATAATGCAGCATTTCACAAAACTGACAGAGACTTTTTTATGTATAAAATGTTGCAGTACATCTGGTAAGCTCTCCTAAATTTCATTTGCCCTGACTGTTTTTATATTGTTTGGCAATTTTATTGAAGTCACATTTGATGAGCTCAACAGTTCTTCTGAATTAACAATGGTCTGGTTTAACTGTTTATTTCATCTTTCAACACAATAGAGGATCGTCAAAGCTTCAACATCTGACTTTATGAGTGTGCGTGTACATGGAAATTTGCTGTGTTCAAGTCTTGATAATATGTTGCATTCACTCAGTTTTGACATTCTACATTATTTACTCTTGGCCTTTTACTCTTTCCAAAATACATAAATGATTAAAAGGATTTGCATGGTATGAGTCAGAGGTCACATAGACTAAGTCAGTTGACACCAAGGTACATGGACTTCTGCTAGACAGAGCACGGCTTTTCTGTGCACATGTATTCTCCCCTTACCATAACTGAAGCCTCAAGCTGTAATGACAGGTCTTCCTTCCAAATGTCTCAGCAAGTTTCAGTGTTTGCTGCATCCCAACTTTTTCAAGCAAACATCCAGTCACAGAGCAGAGACAACAATCAGATGTCTGAAACCTGGATGTTCAAAAAAATTTCATTTGAATTTCTTCATTAACGAAAATGCAATTTATTTATATGCTATTTATTTATTGATTACCCTTTTAGTCATCTAGTGTGTGAGCAGCTTACTGGCTGAATGTTTAGTAAAGTACTAATGGCAGACAAGAGGTGATCTTATTTGCTGAATATGGTTTGAATTTTGAACTAGTTATAATTGTAAAATATTTTATGCTAAAAAATATTTGAAAAGCATTCTGTTTTTTTTTTTTTTTTTTTTTTTTTTTTTTTTTTCAATAGTCACCCCAAGAACCTTTATATTGTAAGGAAAATGCCCTACAATAATAAAGAGAGAACCCCAACATTCAGAAAACCCCCTATGAGCAAGCACTTGGTGACAGTGGAAAGGAAAAACTCAATTTTAACAGGAAGAAAACTCCAGCAGAACCAGGCTCAGGAAGGGGCGGCCATCTGCCATAATCGGTTGAGGGTGAGGCGAGTAAGACAGGACAAAAGACAAACTATGGTAGCGAGCAAGGAATGAATAATAACTAATGATTTAATGCAGAATGTGGTATTAACACAGAAGAAAAACTCATTGCGGCACACCATTAGAAGCAGCCGATGCCTTCTGTTTACTAAATCCAAATTAGGACGTGGTTCCACAGAAGTGGGGCCTGAAAGCTGAACTGAAAATATGTGTTAATTTACCTGTTATTGGTTTAGTTAAATAAATGCATTCAGCTTATATCTAATTACCTGTTATGGCATCAAACATTCAGGAACTTTTTGTAAAGAATGTTGTATAGTACATATATGACAAATGCAAGAAAAACAAAACGCCCCTTTGTCATCATATAATAACCCCTTAGTGATTCACTATATCTATATTATATCATTCAAGAGCATGCTGTTAAACAGTGTCACCAGTTAGTAAAGGTATTAACTGGGACAGTGACCAGCTTTCAGCAAGAACCTGTGTTGTTTTCTGTTTCTTTTTTTTTTTTTTTTTTTTTTTTTTCTAAATGACATCAGAAACAGCAGTATGCGACATTACGTGATGGCAGAGCTTCAGTTCATCCTTTGCCTTTTTTTTTTTTTTTTTTTTTTTTAAATAAATAGGACAGGGGGAATGAATGAGAGAAAGAGGGGGAGAGAAAGAAAGAAAACCAAAGGGGAGAAGAGACGGTGAGAAGGGGGGGAAGAGAGAGAAAAAAAAAAAGAACTCCTGGGTCACCTGTATGGAGAAAAAAAACAAACAAACAAAAAAAAACCAAACAGAGGAGACAGCAAACAACAAAGAGCAACATAATAATAGAGAAAACAAAGCACCATCACAATAAACTAGCTAGTCATAGATATCAATATTTACTAAGTAATAAACGATATTGTGCAGCACGCAAGATAGACAGCGCACAGTGTGCTTTGAGGCAGCAGCCAAGAAAGCTTTAGTCCGCGTCTGTGAATACCCATGTGTGCATACCTGTGTGGATCAGCATGCTTGCATTCCAAAGGTTTCTCCATGTAATGATCTGCTAGGGAGTGTGGGGGGGCCACAGCCCCGTCCTCCAGGGCGCGAAGCGGGTATGGAGGAGATCAAAACTCCAGACATCCAGAGGCCCCCAGAACACAAGAGACCATGGAAGACCAACAGAGGGGCAGCCGCGCCACTGTCCCAGTAAGAGCTGAGGAGAGTCCCAGATGAGGGCTCGCCCAGCAGCCGTGGAGCAGAAGTCAGGGGGAGTTGCAGTGACGCGCCCGTGAGCTCCGCCGGCCCCCAGCTGTGCCTGAGTGACCGAGCCCCAGGCCGAGAGGCCGGGGGCACCCCACCTCCAAAGGGGGCCGAGCGAGCCCCAGGCCCCAGGCCCCGACAAGCGGCCGCCAAGGAGTGAGCCAGTGTGTACCCGGACGCCCACCCCCAGACACAAAGAACCACCAACACACCGACACCTGAGGGAGTCCGCCACCGGCAGGGGAAGTGGTGGTGGGTGGAGATAGGCCTCCAAACCTTGGAGGGCCTGAGGTGTCCCCAGAGAGGTGGCGTCTGATACCCAACCTGACATATAGACACAGACATACGGGCACACACAGACACAAACATCCATTCCCACCCTCATGCTCTCATATGCACTTACTCCACACTCAACCAACGTGGAGACAGACATAAAGAGACGCTGTACACACAATCACACTCCCCAAGCGTACTCTACAAACCGGGTCTAGGTACCCTTGCCCCTGGAGGGGGGAACTGCACCCAGACCCAGGTGGTGTTACCCTTTTCCCTGCGGTGGGGAGAGGCAGACCACCCCGACTCCGCAGCAGCAGGGAGGCCCCACACCCCAGACCGCAGTCGGACGGCCAACTCCTCCTACTAGCCCTCCCGCTCCAGCAGGCCGCAGAGAATGGGGGTGGGAGAAGACTCCAAACCTCCCTCCACCCGCTCATTGTAGTGTTGATGCATATGTGTTCTAAGGTGCAATTAAAACCCAGGAGGGCATGGAGCTACCTGCCAAGGAGCAGCAGGTAAGCGCATAGTCCCTCCTGCTAGCCCTCAATGACTAAGTGTATTTAAAATTGAGAGGTGGGCAACGACGTCAGGGGTGAGGTATACACCCTGATGGTAATTTGGACTCCGTGATGGTGCCCACCCCCAAGATCCTATATGTATGTGTAATGAGAGTGTGAATAATGTGAATGTCTAAGTTGTGGGATAAAATTGAGGCAGAGGCAGCCAGAAGGGGACAGGGGGGGGGGGGGGGGGGGGGGGGTAGCCTCCTCTGCACCCTGGTGACATATCCCCACTCCAAGGCCCTGCATGTGTGCATTCTGGCTAGAACAGGCCAACATCAGCCTGGCAAAGGCTCCAATCTGGCCCTTTGGATAGCTTTTGAAAATGTGGAGGAGGGCATATCTTTTGGACTTTTAACTGTTTTTAAAAAAATAAATTTTACTGTTTGTCCTGCTGATAAAGACCCTCCCCACAGCCATTCATACTGCAGCAATAAAGTCAAATCAAAGTGGGTTGTATGTGGCCCCCCAATATATGATAACCTTGATAGCCCCAGTCTAGAAGTTTGGATGTTAAATTGTTTACTTTTTCACATAACATTTTCTTTTACAGAATGATATGTGATAAAGTAATGGTGTACATATGACATACGTTTGTTACAGAGACCGTTTTGTGACCATTTTGTGAATTCCTGTTATTAAAGCTCAAGGTGAGCATTTCGCATCACCAGCTTATTTACACCATGGTAGCAGTGGTAACTGAGAAGCTTGGCTACAAGGTTAACAGTGCAAAGGAGCAGTACCCTTCATGGAGGAGGCTAGAAACCAGGCTGAAGGTAGCAAGGCGTGAAGTTATCTAACTAAGTTATCTAAAGGGATGGCTAAAATGTTCAAGCAAGGTGCCCATAGCTGAGGTCTTAAAAACCGCCAAGGAAAGACTCACAGCCTTGGCCAGCCACCTGAAGAGGTATACCAGAGAGACAAACGCCAGGAAAATAAACAAACTGAGCCATCCAAGGTGTACTCTCAGTGGCAGAGGAACAGTATAACAACCAAGGCTGGAGAAGGAACAGTACTGGATGGGCATTTGGGAGAAGGAGTAACAGAGAGTTTGCATCCTTTCCAAAGTTTCATGTGTTCCTTCCTATGCTGAAAATACAACCTGAGGCTGTAACGAGTCCTGTGTAATTAATATAAATCTTCTATTTTATCTTCTCACTGGTGTTCTTGAGATATAATGATACAGCTTTTTATATTTTGTTCTCTTATATGGAAAGTTTTTTTTTCTCCCTCACTTTCAGTTTTGCTCAACACACAATATGAGAATCAAATTACTTTCCTTTATTTTTGCAGTCAGTTTCTCTCTGTATTCATTTGACTGCACTTACTGTTAGCAATTTAGTTTTTAAAGTTCACTATACTGTAGAATTACAGTAAATGCATGGATGATTTGATCAGAGGAATGTTAGTGATTATTCTCTTTGTTAGTTTTTGTTTTGAGCAAAAAGGTTGAGCTGATTCAACTCGGTTTTATTTGACTTATATAGCACCAAATCACAACAATTAGCTTCAGGTGCTTTATATTGTAAGGTAAAGACACTACCATATTAAGAACAAACAGAGACAACTCTGACATCATGTGATCCCTTATGAGCAGTGGAAATGAAAAAACTCCCTTTTAACAGGGGTTTCTTTTGTTTGTGTTGTTTCAATGAATGGGACGAGAACAAATTCATCAACTAACACAAGCAAGCTTGATTGACAGTCTAAGTTCACCATTGATGGTGAGCTGAACTAAGCTTTCATATTCTCCACTAAGTGGTCCTTATCACGATAAATGATGAAGGAGAAGCCACCGATTAAACATGCTGGAATTTATATTCAAAGTCTGGCTTTATGTCAAAATAAATTATTTATCCAGAGTAGCTCCGAACCACAACCCGGTCTGGCATTGATTAAGATAAGAGTTTGTTGGTGTCTGTGGTCCTTGTGGACTGGCTCCACTCATTCAACAAATATTGTACAAGAAGGTATAAGAATGTCTAATTTTCAGTGATTGTAGGAAAATTTGGGTGAATATGACCTACAGTTGCCAGTGTCTGAAATTTTGGGTTTATGGGAGGAATGTTGACATAAAGTGGTATAATTTGCAGTAACTTACTCTTTTGTAAGTTCATATACAGTTTTGGAAGAATGGCAATTATTATTTTTGGTGAGTCATCTAGGTTTTGCTGTACAGCCTCCACAACCCTTGTGACCTCAAAGAAGCTAATTTCACACCTCTGTAGTGGACCTCAGAAGTAAATGCTACTCCCTGTGCGAGGTGTTTCTAAAAGAGGACAATGTTCTGAAAACAGAAATGTGAGGAGAGGGAGACTCATTTCCTGCTTTTGATGCTTGGGAACTGAGCCAAGTTCCCTGTGGGCAGGGCAGAGCAAAGAGTCGAAATAAAAGATATTCTGACATACACCGTCTGTCACATAAATATGTCTCGGCGCCAACTAAACATCGCCAAGTCACATTACTGTTCTTCAGTCAGATTCAGAAAGCTTTTAACATTGCAGGCTTCCTATCCGTTGGTTATGTCTGATTAAGAAGCAGACCTGATTTTAAATCCAACTTCCGAACTAATAAAATGGCCTCAATAAAACAGTTGAATAAAGAAAAAAATAAACATCCTTACTAAATTAACCTACATGTGTATGTAGAAGTAGAATGGGAGACAGATCCTTCAGCTTTCAGGCCCCTCTGCTGTGGGAGCAGTTCCCAGTTGGACTTGAGAGACAGACACCCTCTCTACTTTTAGGATTATGCTTTAAACTTTCCTTTTTTGACAATGCATATAGTTAGGACTGGATTAGCTGACTCTGAATTCTCCATTAGTTATGTTGCAATAACCCATAGGCCATTTGGGTTAGGATTGGGCACAGGGTTTCCCATGATGGACCAAGTGATTCTTCTTCAGTCACCTCTTTTCACTCACCATGTGCTTATACACCACTTTTTATTCAGTCATTAGTGTTTCATCTGGCTGTCTCCCACAGCAGGTTTTTTGCCTTGTTTTCCTCCCCTCGCTGCTTACCACTGGCAGCAGATGGCCACCTTTCCCTGAACCCGGTTCTGCCAGAAAACTGAGAGAGCTTTTCTTTTGCACTGTCACCAAGTGCTTTTTCATAGGGGGTCATCTGATTGCTGGGGTTAACCTTACAATATATAAAACCTTGAAGCAACTGTTGTTGTGATTTGGCACTATTTGAACGAATTGAATTTAGTTCACTTAATGGATAAAAGGTCTAGGATGTCAACTGGTTTTAGGTGTAATCAAACAAACCTTTAGGACAAAAGGGTTCAAAGAAATGAAATGACAGTGAAATGAACGGCATTAACAATTCTGATCAACCATTTATAGAATCTGACAGAAAAGACACGTCATTCCAACCCAGAACAAGCCTGATGCGCAAGACTCAGGCTCATGACGGGAATCGTCTTCTTAAAAGCTATTGAAATATTTGCTACAGTATAGCGTCTTGCAGTTTATCATCTTTATACAGTGTACTGTGTACAAACGTGAGAGTTGTGTAACAAGTCTACCCAACTGATTTTGTATTGTATTTTCTCAAACTGAAAGTGGCCTTGCAGCTCGTCTCTGCTATCATCTCTACGAGCACTCAGTAACACGACTCTGCCTCAGAATTTTCCACGAGGCACAAAAAAGCTGGTCCAACCATGTTAACCAGAGGAGCGAGAGAAGCCTTTTAACACATGTTATTGCTGAGCAAATGTGGTCCTGATTCCAGAAAACAAAAGCTGGAAAACAGGAACTACCAAAGTTGAAATTTGTACCCCCAGAGTCTATGGCTCATTGTAAAGAATTCTGGTTTAGGCCATTTCTGCTTTTGCTTCATTTTCCAGACCTGGAAGCTACTTTCATCTTTTATAAACAGTCTAATGGTAGCTACCATCCCATCAGGTGTCACCTGGGCCCTGTACTATTAAACCAGCTCAGCATGCCCAGGGTTTCTTTCTGTTATCTGGATTCACTTACTATGACAACAGCAATCAGGCAAGTGTTCACACAAATGTGATTATCAACTTAGGTGAAACCAGTTTCCCCTGTGTGGTAACATGAAATGTATGGCAAATGCGCGACCAGTCATATTAATGGTTAAGCGCTGCAGAGTGGAAATATTTGAAGAGGTTAACATAATACTAACTCAAAGCAAGCGCAGCAGTGTAAATGTATTTGACAGGAAAATCACTGCACAACAATTTCTGTTAAAAGCTGCAAGAACGTATCAAATCAAAGCACTTTAGGTGCTTTGATCAATAAGACTGGAAAAGAACTGCTGTGTTAAAAACATTTAGCCTGTTTGAGACCAGGAAAGGAAGCCGACACAAATGCCAACTGTGTAAGCTTCCAGACCTATCAATATCACAATTATATGATTATATTATGAGAGAATTTGAATGGATTATAATCAAATATTCAGTAAATTAATGTTTAAAAGAAATTTTTAGTTTTCATTCTTTCAGTATGTCAGAAAGAATAACTATAAAAACAATAGTCGATAGTAGGTTTAATCTATGCTCAAATTTGAAATAAGGTCAGCAATTACAGTATAGGTGTATGGTATAGGTGAGTATCCAGCTGCTTTTAGTAACAACACTTGAAAACTGTGCTCTCTCTTGTTGTCAGGTATTCTTGCTGTGACACTTTATGAGTCAAAGCATCCTTAAAATGGGATTTTATTACTGCCTCTGTTACAGCTGATGCACAGCTTGTGCCTGTTGGGTAAAATCTCCACTCAGATGCTTAAGAAATTTGCTGCCGTGCATCTGATTTCTCAATGGGGAAAAACTCCTCACTTTGAGGGTTATTTTTTAACATTGAGCCAACATTCCTTGGATGATTGGGCACTCCTATCCTCCTCCTCCCCTTCCTGCATCACCCAGAGCATTCACCAAGGGTGGCTGCTTCCCTCAGGGTTTAAAAATACTTTTATCTTCCTCTTTGTGCAGCAAAACAAAAGGTCCCAGAAAGGCATGATCTTTCAGCCTGATAAAATAAAAGTTTTTAACAGTTATCCGGTGAAAACATGCTAAGGGTGTAAGAGCTCACCTATAGATGCAGGAGTCATGGTGGCTGTCTGTGCTGCATGCTTGCATTCATTCCTTCTTGCAGTCTGAAATACAAGCCAGCCATCTGCACTTATATACAGCACAGAGAGGAGACGAGAGGGAGGAGAAAGTGTGACTACCACAACACAGTGATTAGAGAGCAGAGAGGGAAGGAGGGAGGAGGGAAGAGAGGCACAGAAACAAAGGAGAGAGAGTGAGGGTTTAAATTCGTTAGCTTGTAGAGCTCATCAGATGTCTGATCCTCCCTGGAAAAAAAAAGTCAATTCATCCACATCAGTCAGTCTAGAACACACATGTAAACAAAAATGTCATCAACTGTCTGTGAGAAAGTCTGACCAGATCTAATCTCACTTTTTTGCATATGAACTTTACATTCAATTAAAATAAATAAAATAAGTTGTCCCTTGCATTTTTTTACTCGAATATATTAGTCTATACGTAGTATTAACATCATATAAAGATGGATACAGCTTCTGGGTGTGAAAAATGAAACCACGTTTGCACTGTCTTAAACCTACATTATTTTTAATGGCATTTGTGTTATATTGTACAACAGTGTGCCGCCTACTTCATGTCTCAGCGTAACGGCCTTTGTTGAACTAAAGGCTCCTTCTTGCCCTGCTGGAGCTAGAACACCAGAATCATGTTTCTCCTAAATGGGTTCACCAAAAAACAGATGCCTTGTTATAAATGAGCTGAGACTAATTTGGTTCAGTTACCAGAAGGTTGCTGAATCAATCCAAGCTCCTGCTGTACATGTGCATGTATCCTCAGGCTGAGTGTGTGTGTACCAAAAACAAATAATCAGTTACAAATAACAGCACTGTATGAATGCCTGTTTGACTGGATCAGTGAAAACTGTAGAAAACTGTTTCAGAGACCAGTGCAGCATAACAGATGTTTGTATATTAGCAATTACAAATTTGAAGGAGATATCTTCTGACATATTTTTTTATCACCTAGGAACAATTTGTATTAGAGCCTTGATTTTTTTTTTCTTGACTTGCTCACCAAAGTAAAAGAAAATGTAGGCCCGTGTTTAGAAACAGTACCTATGTTTTAAAATTAAGTGACTTCTAGCAGTTGTGCACGAAAGGGTGTAAGAATAATGTGTTCATTTTTCTCTGGCAAATTCTGAAGAAATATGTAAATATGGACTTTTTTTTAGAGCTCTGCTTTAGTAAATCTGAGACAGTGTAAAGTAAGTTTTGGTTTATTTTAGGAAACAAATACCACCAAATTACCAATCAACAGTAATTCATTTGTGTACTTTTTCCTTTATAACCCTGGCTGTACTAATAACAGTCAGTGTCTTTCTTTGATACAGAGGAAATCTTATAGGCCTCTGCCTGTCACTGTATATTGAGGGAGCAATCGTTATGGAATAGAACTTGCTAGAGACTCTACTCATTTTGAAGGTGTCTTTATTATTAACTTATGTAGTGGCAGTTCAATTTCAATTTCAATTTAGTTTTAATTGTTTACCACCAATCCACAACAGTAGTACAGAATAAAAACAATATTAGAGAGAAATTCAAAGAATCGGAAAATCTCAAGCAAGCATGAGGCAACAGTGCTAAGGGAACAACTCGCTTTTAATAGGACGAAGCCTTCAGCAGAGTAAGGGAGGGGCAGCCATCTGCCACAACCGGTTGGAAGTAAGAGGAAAGAGAGGAGAGCCAAAAAGAGACAGGATAAAAGAAAAGCTATAGGTGAGAGTGCCAGAGTTTAGAGAGGCAGAGTTTATTAATTACTAATGATTAAATACAGTGGTGGTGTATACACAGAAAGAAAGAGGACAGAGATGAGTGAAAATAAAATAAAATAATTTCATCTTGTGAAGTCCCCCAGAAGCCTAAGCCTATTGCAACATAACAAAGGGAGGATTCAGGGTCACCTGATCCAGCTCTCACTATAAGCTTTATCAGAATATAAAGTTTTAAGCCTAATCTTGAAAGTGGAGAATGTCTACCTCCAAATCTAAACTGGGAGAGAGGCCTGATAGCTGAAGGCGCTGCCGCTCATTGTACCGATAAAAGTGCTAGGAACCAAAACTAAGCCTGTGGGTTAACAGCAAAGGACTCTTGTAGGATAATAATGTACTATGAGATAATTAAGATGTGATGGGGCCTGATTGTTCAAGATTTTGTTCATTTTAATTCTGAATTTAACAGAGAGCCAATGAAGTGAAGCCAGGATAAGAGAAATATGGTCTCTCGCTTTCTATTCTCAATTAGTGCATTCTGAAACAACTGAAGGCTTTTCAGGGAGCTTTTGGAGCAACCTGATAACAATGAATAAGTCGTGTGTAAACTAGCTTTTGAGCATCACTAACACAGGATTTGTACAATTTATTGTACAAATTAAGCTACAAGTACGCCCAATTACATGCAGAACAGGAAGCATTACAGCAAAGCATTATGTGAAACAAAGACTACAAAATGAGGCTTGAGTGGTCTATCTCACCGTATCCATGGGAAAATTATACTTTCTGTTTAAACCACCACAGACCAGTCAGAGGGCCAGTGCTGGCCCCTGTCTACTGGCGAAAGTGTCAACAATGGGCATGCAAGCATGGCGCAATGGAAGAAGGTGGCCTGGTCTGAATCACATTTCCACTGCATGTGGATGACAATGCTGAGAAACTTCAGATCCAACCATCCATGTTGATTTTTCTTTGACATTTACCACCTACCTAAGCACTGCTCCAGACCATGTACACCCTTTTATGAAAATGGTATTGCCCAAGGGCTGCGGCCTCTTTCTGTAGGATAATGCGCCACAAAGTAAAGTTCAGGAAGGTTCAGGAATTGTTTGAGAAGCACAACAAGTTTGAGGCATTGGCTTGGCATCCAAATTCCCCTCATCTGAATGCAATTGAGTATCTGTGGGATGTGCTGGACAAACAAGATTGATCCATTGAGGCTCCACCTTGCAATGTATAGGACTTAAAGGATCTGTTACTATCATCTTAGTGCCAGAAACAACGGCACACCTTCATATTTTTCATTATATATTTATTCTATACTAAAACATTAGTAATAGGCGGTATAGCACAAAAAGCTTCAAAGGATACATCCTCAATAATAAATGGGATCTATGGTTTATTACTGTATGTGAGTGCATTAGTTTTAGTTAATACTAATTACCTAGTAGCAGTTAATACTTCAGTCATAAATCCTTACTAGATGTCAGTGTTACTTAACTATTGCTAACATCGCTCCAATGCAAAGTTACACTTCTAGACCAGTGTTTTAAAAAGATCCAGGGAACTTTCTATAACACTTACATCCTGGTGTAAAACCAATCCTATAACCTCCTTTTAAAATTCTTCAACTAAAAGCTCAGAGTTTACAGTACATCTCAAAATAAATGTACAAGCATTTCAGCTTCTAATGTACACTGTGGTGCACCATTAGTTTTTTTTCCCTGTGTAGAACATTCAAATGGGTCATCTCATACAGGACATGCCAGTCTGCTAGTTTAATAAGTATAACCACATAAACTTGACAGCCCTGAAGAAAATCAGCTCAGTCAAACAGAGAACATGAAATCTCAGAGGGCTCAAAAGTCATTATTTTCTTCTTTCCCCAAAGTAAAATGCAGCTGTTAAAAGCAGTATCACCTTGTCTCCACATTTGTTAATTTGTATTCTCCATCCTCTGCACAGCAGAGTGTCACTGTGCTAATTAAATGATATTATATATATGGACCTGGCACTTTAGCCAGGGCTGAAATTCCAGTGGTTAACCACACATATTTACAACAAGGAGACAAAAGTCACAGGGAGCCCAATTCTTGCAAGCCCCTATATTTAATATGGACATGGCTTTTCCCTTTTAATGTTCTTTTCAGACTACAGAGTAAACCATCCAACTAAACAGTATTTACACGAAAAAATACAGCTACTTTGTATTCGTGGAGAGACATGTCATTATGGAGGAAACCGTTCTTTTACTGAAAACTGAAACATTTGTTTTGTTTATTCACTATCAGCTTCAGAGCATGTTTCTGATGAAGCTTCTTTTTTCTTTTATACAAACTTAGCAAAAACTTAGCCTGGTTTTCACTTAAATTTCAAGTAACTGTGAGTACGATACTCCACTTGTTATCTTTGATAGAGTGATGTGAAAAACAGGTCTCACTGGCCTGAAAATATGTATGGGCTCTTATTGTTTTTAGGCAGGCTGCTGATTTACAGTATATGACATGGTATGTGAAAATTGGACCCAAAAGCAGACTTATTGCACAAATAGAAACATTTACAAGATTTATTTACAACAAACCTGTCAGAGCTTCGCCGTGTGGAGGTGAGGAAGAGCACACCCAAACGCGAGACTCACAGGTTGGTGAAGGCTGGAGTTAATTGTGAAGAATGGATGAACAGAACATAAGGTGGCTGAACTGACTGAACGAATGAACGACTGACTGACTGACTGAATGGATAGACACACATGTGGGAGAGACAACAGCAATGACAAGACCATGAGCTGGAGAGAACTGATGACTTAAATACACAGACTAATAAGGATGATAATGAGAGACCGGTGAGTACACAGCTGAACATAATCTGACTAATGGCACATGGAAGTAACTGGAACAGCAAAACAGGAAATGAGAACGAGTGACAAAATAAATTGAAGTTGAACAAACTGAAAATGATGGGTCAACAACGCAGGAACCCTGACAAAACCAAAACTAAGTGGTCAAACATGACTCGGGCTGCAACGTTCAAAGAGGACCTAGAGTCAAAAAAAAAGGCAGTGGCCGGAGAAGGTTTGCATAAGAGTGGAACACACGTAATGGGGAGCTCTGATCACACGATGGCGTGATGAACTCTGACTGAAACGAAGCAGGCTATGACTGTGCAGGGCTTGCACGAGGCTCTGGTAGTTGCTGCCCCTTGAGCTCATGTAGAGGGGAACCCACTGCCTTGGTCCCTGTAGCAGGTGGTGGTGTGGAGACTGCAGATGGATGGGCAGGCTTGGCTGAGGCAGGAGGCGGGACTCGCTGAGGCCAGTCTTGT